TGATCAGTATGTGTGGCCAGTCAGTCCCAGAAGAGATCTTTACCTGCTCTCTAGTGAGGATCATGTGCTATTTCCCCATTCTTTGTGGTGCTTGCTCCATGCTCACCTCTCCCTGCAGCCTCAGCTCAAGCTCAAGTCAAGCCTTGGGGAGGGGAATCAGGACAGGCTGGGGTGGGGGTGTTGTTCTTCTCCATGACATAATGGTCTGTGTCTGCCTTGTGGCAATGGCTTCCCTTTCTAGAACAGCAGAAACAACATATGAACTACTTTTTTTTGGTCCTTTCACCTTCATTACAATGCTATTTGTAATACTCATTAAACTATGACATAAGAACTGTGAGGTGCAGCTCTGCATCTACAGCTGGGGGCTTTCACCAGAATCAGTGGGGTTTCTTCTGCAGCATGTTGTGCTTTCAGCCCTTCACCTATGAGGCAGATTGGAGCGTTTAGGCATCAGATGGGTCTCTCCTCATGGCACAGGACCTTGTTTCTTTCACTGCCAAAACCAACATGCTTGTTGGGTGATTCTTGTGTGGCACATCTGCAGCAGCAGACCTGGCTCTTATTTTCCACATGTAACCCTCAGAGGGTTAGCAGATTTCCACAGCTTGTTAGTTGCTTGCACAGCTCTGTTCTGCCACAAACTGGATCTGGTTTTAAATTTAAAAGTGACATACATTTGTCTTTCTCCTTCTCCTCTCGTCAGATAATTCCCCACCCCCTTCATATTTTTATTTCAATATTGCACTGATGACTTTTCCTTGATCCTAAAATTAATAGCCAGACATGGTTAAGGGATAAAGGGTTTTTACTTTGGTATTGAATAAGGATTTTTACAGTGTGGCACTTCTCCAAGGTGGAATACTCAGAAATGCACACAGACGGTAGATTTTGTATAAAATTGTATAGACCTTGTAAATTAGCATATTTAACAAAGATGCTATAATTAGAGGTTTGAATGAATAGCATGATATCTCCTTATGCTGAGGTATTCCCCCTTAGATGGGTCTAATCCTAGTTTACAGGATGTATTGTAGAAGGGACCTTGGTTTCTCAAGATAGTGTAGGATTTCTGGCCTCCAACTGCAAGGCCTTTAGGATGTTTGGTCTTGTGGCCTAACAGAATACCAGGACTATGCTAAGTTATCAGACTTAAAGAATTACATGCATGCATACTAAGGGAGCTGAGAATACATAAAAGGTATATAAAAGAAAAGGCAAAAATTGTCATGACATCAGCACCGGTATTATTTGATTATTTATTATTCACTAAGACTAGAAAAAAAGTAGTAAATATAGATGTTAATAAATGGGCAGGATTAGATAAAATCAGTCATAAGAAACTGTGGCAAGAAAAAAAATTGTGTCTGGGGTCTGTGTATCATAGGAGGCCACCAATATATTCAAAAACTCTTTTAGCAAGGCCTGGAAAATGCCAAAGCAGTGGGAGCAGCTACCACTCCTGGTGAGGTGACACAGTCTGTGAGAAAATGAGATCCAGGGATGAACACAGTCTCTTGGGAAGCTGTTGGAAAGGATCCAGTGAAGTTCAGCATTACTGGTTTCTGGAGGAAGAGTGATAAGTATGCCAATAAAAGGGGTCGTGTGGACATAATAATCCTCTTTTACTTTCAAAAAGCCTTTGAGAAGCTTTTTGCAAAGCTTATTAAACTTTGTAAAGAAAATAAGTTGCCACAAGATTGGATGAGAGATTGGTTTTGGAGTTGAAAGCTGGTATAATAAGAGGAAGTGAGGGACAGGGCTTAGTGGTCACTCTCCAGGAAGGAGGAGATTTATGCAGTCAGGGTATAATTCAGGTCGGAAGGGACTTCTGGAGGCCATCTAACCCAGCCTCCTCTCCAAGCATGTCTAAAGGGCTAAGGTTATGCAAGGACTTCTTCAGTGAAACTTGAATATGTCCAAGGATTCCCATTCCACAATTTGACACAAAGGCCTTAGAATTTGAGCTGTTTTTTTCTTGATACCTCCATCTGTGACCTCTAGCAAGCAGTGAAATCTCTTGGGCTAGAGAGGCATTGGGCTCTGGCTGTGAGTGCCTGTGCCATGCCTGAAATAGGCTTGAATATGCAGGGTGGGGTTGAACTTGGTGGTCCTTAAGGTCCTTTTCAACTCAAACCTTTCTGTGGTTTATGTGTGGAAACTAAAAAAAATTTGCTTCCAAGTTTGAACAACACTACATGATTTTCTAGCATGGTTATGCTGAGAAAAGCTACTGGTCCTGCACACTGTTCCTCTATTCCTTTCCCACACACACAGATGGCTTTTGTTGATGGGGATGTGGCAGATGGCTGCAACAACAGAAAACCTCCTTTTTGTTTGCTGGTGCTTTGTCCAAGCAGGGGGGTCTTGGCTGGCAGATCCTACAGCAGCCGTGTCTACTCTGGACAAGCACCAGTAAAGCCAAGCCTATCACAGGATTTTTTTTTTTTTTTCAGTATTAGGAGGAAACAGGTCTATACAGCAAAGTGTATTAGTGCTATTTAGAATTATATTCTATCTTAAAAAAAATAAATAAACCACCTGGAAATTTACCTGTTCTACAGTAACACGTTTTCTCTTGCACCTGAAGCTGACTACACCAGCATCAGCATCATCAGCAGCAGCAGCAGCAGCTTTGTGCAGTGTGCAGATTCAGCTAATAAGCAGATTTGGCAACGACTTTGACTTCAAGTACATTAAATCTCCTCACTGTCCTGAAAATATAGGCTGGAAAATTCGGCATGGATCAATGCACATAAGGCTACAGCTTTCACTAGGGAAAAATCCTCCTCCTTGACTTGCCTGCACTTATCTCCTTTCATTAGCAAATATCATTCCCCTTTGTCATTAACGACTGTGTATTTGTTTTCAGTGCTGAGGTACTCACTGGAAAGCTACAACGGAAATGTTAGGAAAAAAATTGTTCCAGCACAAACTTCACAAGGCCGAATATGCTATTGTTTCCTGGACCTTGTCAAAGACTCCCTTCTCTGCAGTTTAGTCTTTGTTTGTCAGCAGCAGTGGCAAATACTTGGTGGATGAAAGGTTTGCTGATCACAGGAGGGTATTCAATTTTCCAATTGCCAAACAGAGAACAGTCAAGCAATCCTCTGTAATCCTCTCAGTTAAACAATCTTTTACGGCTTTCCCTTGCAGTGCCCGTGTAACTTGCAGAATGCAACTAGGGTAGGGGTGCCAAGAAACTTCCCTATTCTTGGAATTTATTATCCTGCCAAAGTGAACTCATTTCCTTTCCTGCTTTGTTTGTTTGTTTATTTGAAATGCATTGCACAATCCCTGAGCAATGCAAGGAAAAATGGGATTATGGACCTACGTTGACAGGAGAACGGACAGCATTCTCAAATTTTAATGCTTGCTTTTTAAATATTGTTTTCAGTCATATGATTGCTGGAAAACCATTATAAAAACAGTTCAGTGTATTTTGAGTATGTAAGCTTTAAGTGTTGTTCATCATCTGAGATGAATCTCACATCCACTATCTGCACACTTTGCCAAAGCTGATACTTCTGTCAGTCCCAAGTAGTTTCCCAGGTGATTGAAGGAAGAAGTGAGAGGAAAACAAAAATGTTTTCTGTGACCCTCCATTCTCAGTTGGTACTCCTACCCTTGTCACCCCTAAGCAGGACTAGGTCTGCCGCAATGAATAAGCTATGTTAATTGAAGTTTGAGTTAATTGGGTCACTACTCATTAGTATTGCCTTATTTACCAGTCCAGTTTTTCTTGGTATTACAACTATCTGTATGAGTGTCCACATCTGCATGTGTGGGTGTGTTGTAGTTATAATATGCATGCATGTATTTTAAACAAAGGTTATATAAATCTGTGTATGCATACCTGTGTCTGTATATGCATGTGCACATTTTTTTCTGTATTTAGCTATTTATGAATTTAGCTATACCAGGTCAGGCTCATTAGTGATGTGAAGAACTTTTCTCCCAAAGGTTTCCTCATTTTCAATGGGTAGATTGCTACAAATAAAAATTTAAGAATTCCAAGGCATCTTTAGTGACCTTTACAAAGTACACAAATAGTCATGGTTGCAAAATGTTGAGTGCTCTCTCGACTCACAACATGATGTACCCATGGACACCCAGTGTTTGGACACCACTGAGACTTTGGATGTGGACAGGGATACATCACAGTCAAAGGATCATCTGCGGAAAAAGCCAGTGGTTTCCTGTGATACTTTTTAAAACTTACTTATGAAACATACATTCTAACTTTTTTCCAGGATGAAATAAAAACACAACCTCCACTTGTCATTTGTCTTTTAGTTTTCTAGAGCAAAGCTAGATTGAAAAGCAGAAGCTAGGATGGGATAAAATGTGTGAAAACAAACAGGCTGGGAAATTATCTGTTGTTTTGTTCTTTGGGTTTTTTCTTTTTTGGTAGTACCTATACAATTTATAACAAAAATAATAATTTAGCATTCATTAGCAGATAACAATACTTACGTTTTATTAAAATGGTCTTGCCATTCAGTATTATATCTGTATAAAACTTTGTTTGTGACATCAAATGTCATCTCCTAAATTTGCTAATAGTGGAACAGTACTTTTCTCAAAGTATGGATTGTTGCAAGCAAAGCTTTATTCATTATTCTGTTGATAATCGTATCAAGTCCTGTTTTGAATGAGTTCTTGCCCATGGGATTAACAGCAGCATGTATTCACATAACACAGAGTATTGTGTACCATCTAGTATGCCTAAAACATTTTTACTCTTTTTTTTAATTTTTTTTTTTTTAATGTATGCAGTGGTTTGTGGCAGCAAATGGTATTTTTAGAATGGATGTAGAACATCTCCTGTGTAACCTCTGTAAGTGACCCTGCATTGGGGGTTGGGCTAGGTGATCTTCAGAAGTCCCTTGCAACCTAAACCATCCTGTGATTTTTGTTTGTTTTACTATAATGCGAGAGCATCCTTTTGGAAAATAGTGCTTTTGAACACTAAAAAGCCCACGTGACATTTAAGAAATTGTATTACGAATCAGCCCACTACGAAAGGACTTTGAACAGCCTGCTGAAAAGATAGATACTATTTAAATAGTAATTTAAAATAGTTTAAATACTTTAAAAGAGGAAGTTTACACCGCTTTCTTCTTCGGCTGTGATAGTCCCAGGTCCCTCCCCTGGTGCAGACAAGCGGTGGCACCGTCTCCTGGTGTGGAGGTGTTGGTCCTGTTCGGGCGGGCGGCAGCAGAAGGCGTGCCGGATGGGACCCGGCTCTGCCCCAGCGCCTTCCCTGCCCCTGCTCACCTGGTGCACCTGCCCTCCGCTCGTCACCTCGCTCTGCCCATCGCTCTGCGGGGCTGGCTGACGTCAGGATGCGGCGGCCGGGACCGCCCGGCCGGACGCGGCTTCGCCTTCCCCGGCAGCGCCGGGGCACCGCGGCCACCGCAGCCCGGGCTGCTGCTCATCCTGCTGCCGCCGACCCCGCCGCTGCTGCAGATCCCGATCCTGCTGCAGATCCAGATCCTGCTCCTGTTATTGCCACTGCCGCTGATCCTGCCGCTGCTGCAGCTCCGGCGTGCGGCCGCAGTCCATCGCCCGGAGCAGCCAACCCCGAGTTACCCGGCCTGGCCACAGCCGGGGGAATGCGGCAGGAGTCCCCGCGGTCACCGCAGCGAGATTGAGCCTGGACACCGAGGAATAACAAGCCAAACCAGCTGGGGATTTGCAATGCAAGCAGTCTTTCCAGGTTTCTTTTCTGCTTTGCTCCCACCCTGCTGTTGGATTTGAGATCATGTATGTGTTTTGCTGTTGATTACAGGAGGGTGTTAAAATCTAGGGAGGGAAGAGGATTCTGAAGGATTAATATGTTAGTTTTGATTTAAGGGGATTTTATTTTCTTTCCCCTTATCCCTGCCCTTCATCTTTGTTAACACAACTTTGTCTTTATTATTTTTATTCTAGGTCGGTTAATATTGTAGCTTTTGGGAATGAAAGAGATGGTTTTTCTGAGGACAATCAGCAGCCCAGCCTGATCTGGAATTATCTCAGGAGAAGTGCTCTCATTTCCCAGATTGACAGCAGCTTGTCTGCCAGTCACGTTGGAAACCCAGTTTTTACTGAGTATCAAGCCTGCGTATTTGGAAATGTCAGACTGGTGGTACACGACTGCCCTGTCTGGGTAAGAGATCCATCTCAGTCTTTTTTACTACACTTAACAGTGTGAGCTGTTTTAGTAAAATGAAATTATATCCTAATTTTAAATTATTTTCATTGTTGTGGGATTCTATCTGTAGTTTTATTATTGCATTTAGTAAAAACCTATAAAATGTAACCAGGCAAATGCTAGGAAATCTCCAATGTGCTATAGAAAGGTTGTCATAAACAAACCTCTGCTGGGCCTTCCCTGTAAGATGTTGGGTTTTTTCAACTGTGTTGGTTAGTGGAAATTTTGTGAAAGACAATCCAGAGGCAAACGAGAATGCCTTTTTTGTGACACTGCACCATAATCTCTCTCTCAAATATTTGTCAACAATAAAATGAAATTTTATTTTTCTGTAAAAAAAGGCAGTAAGTTTTCCAGCTGAGAAAAATGACAGATTAAAAGATCTGATAGCTTGCAAAATAAAATGTAGGGAATCATTTTACTCCTCTTACAAAGAATAATCATGTCTTAACATTATTACTTTCATCTGATGGTAAATAAAAAAGATTTTGTCTCTGTTGCATGTTGTCAGCACTTTTGCTAGTAAGTGAGAAAACTTACTTTGGAGTGTGAGCAGATCAATGATTATGTAAGAAATGATACTGATAATCTAAATTAAAACATATGTAATGACTACTTAGTAGCCTTTAAAAAAAAACCAACAAAAACCTCAGCTTACCAGCTTTCAGAAATTAAAACAATAATCAGTTTCAGCTCCATCATTTTATCCTTTGGGTGATTTTTGTACTCCTGTAAGGGAAACCTTTTGTAGAATCTGCAGGAGCCATAACAGCTCCATGAAATTATCAGAAGCCAGCAATCTTAAAATGAAAGAATCCAGTTTAGCTGTCCTTCTGCTCTTTATTTCTTTTTGCCAGCTGATTACAGACACCAGTTCAGATGGACTGGGGGATCCTGTTTCTAATCTGTGAAGCTGCATGTGACCTGCACGTGCAGTTTGCTGGAGTCACTGGAGCGCAGCAAAGAGTAAATCTCCTGAATATAAATGAAGTCTGTAGGAATTCAAAGGCTGTTTCAGAAGGATGGAGGGGGGTGGGAAGGCAAGTAGGGGTAGCTGGAGAAGGGGAAGCAAGGACACAGATTGGAGACAGAATTTGTGTGTTTTTACATTGCTTTAATTGCATTTGGCCTTCTACAGAACAAGGTTCAGTTCTGGAGACCTTATAATCTCTGCCCTTCAAAAGTTATTGTCTGAATCACTGCATTTCTAAGGCCTCAGTTTTTTTCCCTCTATCACTAAAGAAGGCAGGAGATATATTACTGAGAAAGTTGAGGACAAATTAACATTTTTTTCTTCATGGGAGACCTGTCAGATAGCAGGACTGAACTCTGCAGGAGGTTATTTGTCATGCATAAAGCAGTGTCCTTGGTAGGGTAAGGCGGAGCAGGACCATTTCCCACAGCCTGGGTGCTTGAGGTTTACAATGTCACAGTGGCTGGTTCAGGACTGCTCCTCTGCTAGCCTGGGGAAACAGCACAGAACAATTCAAAAGGTTACCAGATGTTGCCTCAAATCATATTCTGGATAGGAAAGGATCCGTGTTACATGTTACCAACACACAGAGATGGTGGAATGGGCCTTGGAGTATTTCAGCCTCTACCATCTGAGCACCGGGCAGATTTGCATTTTACCTGGGATTTGTACCTCCACTAGATTAAACCCATGTGATTTAGGCAAGAGAGTCCTAGACATGAACTTGGCGACTGAGTGCTCTGATAGCTGTGTCTCAAAACTCAAGGGTGCCCAGCTGCTCTTTGTGTTTCCACAGCCATCAGTGTGGAAAAGCAGTGTTGATGTGGTTTTACTGACTAGAGTTCCACAGTGAGTGAGGGGATCCTTTTGCATGGCAGATTGTGGTGCAGTTTAATTTTCTTGAGTTTCAGTCTGCTGTTGCACCTGTCAGCCCAGGATACTGCTCAGCCTTTTGATTCTGCAGGAGGGTCAGCAGGTCAAGTGTCTTTGGGAAATGACAAAGATAAATTCATATTTGCCAACTTGCAAACTAGCATGTTGTGAGGAGCTCTCCTTCCTCTGACAGTTGCAGGGTGCAGGATAGAAACGCTGAATTTGGGGACCTTATAATATCACAGGACTCTAGAGACAGCAGTGGAACACCACACTGTTCAAAATCTGGGGGCAAAATGTCAGAGTTTCCAAGGACAGGTTGTTCTTTGTGTGCCACTGTCTGGGTGCACCACTGTGGCTTGCTCTGGCAGAGCTGCTTGCTGTGTGCAGGGGACAGGTGCACAGTGCACCGACATCATTGTAAATCATGTGGCCTCCAAACATTTTCTCAAAAAATGCAGACCTAGGGTAAGAGAAGACATAAGGAACTAAAGAAAACACGTGTGCTAACATCTCTGCTGAATATTGTGATTTTAATAGCTGATCAGTTGCTAATGCATGCTTAAACTGCTCTATAATAAGGCATATTGAGAATGTCCCAATTTTTTTAATTTCAGAGGGGTAAACCCCTGTATGGAGCTAGTAAATCATAAGGGGAAATTTGCAAGATGAATTTTAAGACTGGCTTTGAAAAAGACTTCTTCAATTGACAATCTGTGTTAGATTTGACAGTCTTCAGGACTGAGATGCCATTTTGTTGACTAGCCTGTATTTTGCAATTCCACTTTACTCTAATTTTTTTATGTTTCTGCAGAAAAAAGGGAGGCAAAATTTTTAATATCTAGTGGGACATGAATCTTCCTCAAGTCGAGAATTAAGGATAGTATAGAAGCTGTAATTCATGTTTTGATTAATTACAGTGCTGGAAAATAAATGGCAAAACAAAAAGTCCTTTGTCATGTTCACTACATGAAGTAACTCTTGTTCTCCCCTCTCTTACTTGGAGCAATACCCCAGGGATATGAGAGTGTTTCTGTCCTGGCCTCGGGGTCTTGCTGTCCTTTTAAACTTTTTCTACTAAGACCCACCTGGTTTTGTTTGTTTGGTTTGGTTTGGTGGCTTTTGTTTGGGTTTATTTTACCCCATGAGAAACAATACCCCCCAGAATTTTCTTAGCTTTCCGCTATTTTATAAAAACTGCTGAGTTCCTAGAGAATTACTGACATCATCAAGTACAAAAATGTTACAGAAGGGGAGTATAGAGCAGCTGGGTTTTGGAGGTCGCCTTGTGCTGGGTTAGATACATGAAAAGGGTTGGATGCTCTGCTGTGTCTGCTCAGGGCCTTCCACAGAGCTGCAGACCTCCTTGGGACTCAATAGTACACAAATATAATAACTGCAACTTAAATATATTAACCACAATTTTGAGAAGATGCTCTGTGAACTTTTTTCTAATTCTCCCTTACAACAATCTCTTTCCCTGAATCTTTTTATATTTTTTCCTTTTTATTTACTATACCAACAGGAGTAGTTCCTCAAACACTGTGAGTTTTCTTATGCCAATGATATCATCCATAGTGTAGTTCTCTGGCTTTTTCCTCTTTATCATAATTCTTGTGCTCCTTATGCTGCCAAGGCTGGCTAGCCTATATCATGTCTAAAGGTACAGGAATCTGAGCCACTTTCAGATTTTATTTACTGTTTTTAGAAATCTAGACATATTACTGCTTCAGTAAAAACTGACAGCTAGTAACTTTTCAATTTTTCAGTGCGTCATTCCTTCTCATTTTTAAGCTTGAATGCCTGAAGTGGCAATTTACAACAAATTATCGTATCCTGGTAAAAAATACTCTTAATTTCATTTATGAGAGGATGACAGAGGCCAATATCAATTTCCTTTGTTTTGTGAGGGGGATGTTTAGGGGATTTCTGGAGGAAGTACTTCCATCTGTGCTGCAGATTACTTATCTGAGTAAGTTCAGGGGATTAGTAAATTATGAAGAGTACCCCCATAAAATTTGTCCTGCTGCAGACCTGATAAGAAATTGCAGAGGAATCTTGGGAAAAAAAAAACAAAAAAACGGGGAAGGCTCTGGTACATAAAATTTGTCCTGCTGCAGACCTGATAAGAAATTGCAGAGGAATCTTGGGAAAAAAAAAAAAAAAAAACAACGGGGAAGGCTCTGGTGTGTGGTGTGGAGAACATCAGTGTGAAGAAGGTTTTGGTAATGGAGGCTGGGTCTGTAAATGGATCATAGAGAGGGATAACTTTCCAATGTTCCCAGTGCAGTTCTCTTGGATCCTGGGGAAATCCCAGGGGAACATTCCTACAGGATGTCAAAACGCCCTTTTCCCCACAGAGTGGTTTGCATTGCTGCTGCCTCAGACCCAGGGCTGGGATGGTTGGGCATGGGGACCCTTACTAGCAGATTTCAGAAAGAGTGTGGGCATTGCAAGAGCACTTGTGTGAGGAATTTCACTGCCATTCAGAAAGGCATTCATAAATCATTTTTAACAAAGCAAGTATTGTTGTCTTGAGGGATCATGTGATTTTGTATGAAAATCGTATCTTCAATGCCTCTGAAAGCTTTATTTTTAACATTGAATCTTGAGAAGTATAGTTTACTAATGGCAAGAATGTTATGAGACGCTTAGAATGGAGACATGGAAGGAAAGAATTAAGATTTTTCCTAATGTGTCCTGAATGGAACAGCAACAGAAATATAACCAAAATTATAATTAATAAGGTCATCATAAAAAACCTTAGCTGTGCAGATACTTCTTCCTTTTGCCAATGTCTGACTTGTGAAGTGGAGCAGGAAGTATGATGAAGAGTAGCTGTTACAAAAAAAATTAAGAAGATTAAGGTTATTCCTGAATTGTAACAGTTGTTCATCATGTCATGACATTCCCGTTGTCATTTTTGCATGAAAGGTTCTCTAAAAGCAATAATGAAGGAGGCTCTAGATGCTCTGTGTCAGGGATGTTTTGTGCAAATAACCCATTGTTGGAGATACTTTTGTAAGATTTTCGTGGCACATGAGCATGTACAACACAATATCCTGTTGTACACTGGAGTGAGTGAAAAACAATACACAAACATACCACAAAACCAATATAAAAGCAATATTAAAATACACGTATTAAATTCCATAGGAAGTTTCCATAAGCATTTTCTATTACTCATGCTTAAAGCTGTGCAGTTACAGTGTATTTGTGCATCTGTGCTCTACTCTTTGCTTATGATACCACCCATTGTCTCCAATCTTGTAGAGATGGGCAGGTGCAAATCTGGGCTGATCTTGAAAATGGTCAGCTGGAAGGAAATTGCAAAAGGACAGATGTTCTTTCTGTCTGCCAGCATAACAGAACAGATAAAGATTCCATGTTATTTTTGGGGTTGTATTGTATTTTTCCTTTAACCCTGTGTTATGTTAAATGTATACAACTCTGTTAAAAGTTGTCCATTGAGATCTTAATCAACTAAAGCGTACTGAAGCTGTCCCTTGAAAATTCTCAGTTTTTGCCTGCTTTGTGTGATCAAGTTCTCCAAATGTTCATCTAGATGGCTGTCTCAAAGGACTGTAGCCGGTAGTCCTACTGCTAGAGGTGCTAAATTTGCATTTATGTGTGTTATATTATTAATCAAGTGTAAATTATTGTATTAAGTGCTAATTGAGACTGTCCTTACCCTGGGATTATAATAGCCTCTAACTGAGTTATCTCAAAAAAACAAATATCAAGAGCAGTGCACTTGACCTCCTCTATTGTCAACATGGTTAAATCATGTGAGAGCTATTCCTGATAAATTGTTAATTGTGATTTACTTATTGAACAAAAGCTTCTATTACAGAGATCAATGGGAATGTGTACTGTAATTTATTTCCTGACTTATTTCTTTGTAAGGTCAGGACTTGAATTGGGAATGATGTGAACTGACACTTTAGGCAAATACTCGCTGACTTTAACTTCAATCAAGGTCATGCTACTTCTTGTAGTTAAAAGTGTTGCAGCTACCTCACCAGATTGCAAACAATGACCCTTTTGAAGTGATCAAAAATAGCTATGTTGACAATGCAAGCCATGCCACTTGTTGATATTAATAATCTTTTATGTACTTTACTCACATTTGCAGTGCTCTTATTTCTGTGACTTGCTTTACAAACTCAAGTTGCTCCCCACCACCCAAACTTTGAGTTCTCCCCTTTTGTCACTTCTCTGCTCATTTGTTCCTATTTTTACATTGTCTTTATTTCATTGCTGCCAATTTCCTTTTTTTTTTCCTCAATGTCCCAAGTTCTTTTAGTTTTGCCTCACATGCTGTGCAGGGCTGCCATAGAATCACAGAATCCCTGAATGATTTGGATTGGAAGGAACCTTAGACATCATCCCATTCCAACGCCTAGCCATGCCAGGGGGAGGCTGCACAAACATGTGCTTGAGAATTGTTAGCTCTTTCCTGCCATGCACAGTAACACCTTCCACTAGACCAGATTGCTCAGACCCTCATCCAGCTTGAGCCTGAGCACTGCCAGGGATGGGACAAACTGTGCCAAGGCCTCATCATCCTCTGTGTAAAAAATGTCTGCCTTATGTCCAACCTAAATCTACCCTCATTTAGTTTAAAGCCATTGTGCCTTGTCCTATCACAACTTGCCCTGCCAAAAAGTTTGTCCCCATCTTTCTTATAAGCCCCCTTTAATTAAAAAAAGGGCAAAACAAGTCTCTCTGTTGTAAGAGGTGATAGTATTTCAGGTCATTGGAGGTTTTCTTCAGTTCTCTGGACAAGTTCCAGACTTCTCTCATGAGTTTTCAATTCAGTATACATTCAAAGCCAAGGCTTCCCCTGGTGTTTATGAGCTACCTCCAGGTGAAGCAGAAACTGTGGAACCAGAGTTCTATGACAAATACAGTAGTAATAACCATATAATATAATATGCAATATAATAAGCATGTGGATACAGCACAGCTGTAAATGTACAGAACATCAAACAATTTTAGAGGTTAAGTCCTCAGCATAGAGCAACGAAAATTTGAATGTGAAGTTGAAAAAGAAAGTTTAGGTATGTGATTGAACTGCTTGTCCTGAAGACATTAACACCTGGTAAAGCCATGTAGAAGCTCTAGTGATAAAAATCACACTGAATTATTAAGTTTGTATTTAAAAGTCCATAGGTATATAGGATAATTCTGTGTAATCCTTTCTTTAAAATGGCATGATTAATAATGTTTTTGTATGAGTTGCTGAAAATATCTACTACTGAAGGTGCTTTTATTTCCTAAAAGAAACAATTTAAAAATTAAGTAATTAAAGCAGAAAAGATTCTTCCTGAAAAGAGTATTCCCTGATAAAACCTATTTTTAATTCTTCTTGCAGAATTCCTGAATTCATAGAAAATATTTATGATTTATTATAACAAACAACTTGCTCTCCAAACAAGGAAATTACAAGCAGGAACTCTGCTCATTGTTGCATGTCTTCAAATAAGATCTAATCAGACAAAAAAATTTGTAAAGTTTTGCACTAAGAATATAGAATATTTCATCTTTTTCTTTATAGACAGTAAATTCTTGAGTGGTGTTTTTTATTTTTTAGGGTATATTTGACAGTGACTGGTACACTTCCTGCCGGCTCATTGGAGGAGCTGATATTATTGTGATTAAATACTCTGTCAATGACAAGACTTCATTTCAAGAACTAAAGGACAGCTATGTGCCAATGGTAAAAAAAGCACTAAATCACTGCTCAGTTCCAGTAATAATTTCTGCTATTGGAGCAAGAAAAAACGGTATGTATCCATCCTCCTGTAACAACAGATAAAAGCTCATTTGGGAGTTGGGGATAGTGAAATTTCAGTAGAAGCTGGTTGTTTTTCCGAGCTGCTAACAGAAACAATTAGTCTGTCAGGATGACAGTAGTATGCACATGTATTTTGGCTCTCTAAACTGATGTGCTGGCAAGAACACTGTGCTTAATTAACCCCAGTGATGAAAGGCAACCTATCCTTCTTTGACCTCTGCAATGACTCTTCTTGTGGAGCCATCACACATGAGGATTAAATCTAGTAATTTGAATTAAGCAACATACATTTGGGTATAAAGTATCTCTAGTGTATGAGATTAAAATTATGTCCAGCATTCTGAAAACCCTGGAGAGAGGGTGGGAAAAGCCTTGAAATTCTCTGGGATTTTTTTCCTAAAACAATGAATGAAAACCACAACCCTGACTTGTCTTTTACTTCATGATACTTTACTAAAAGAAGTGTTTCTGAGCATCCCTCCTTTTAATGATGAGAGATGATGATGTAAGTGTAGACATTTCTTTTGTACTGTACATAGAAATATTAATCCATATGAAGTATGTCTTCTGTGGATGGAATGCTCAGTGTTGCTAAGTGTCTTCTGTTCCTTTTAGCTCAGTGACAGATACAGGACAGTTAAAGAGCTGCATAACAGTTAAATATTTACTTTCTTCCATTTAGTAATTCAATTATATGACCAAAAGCTTTCATGCTATGATTTATACAGGAGTAATAAGTCTCCTGTTCTAAAGGCAAGGTGTTGGTAAATTGTTTGTATTCCCCAGGCATTTCCTTACACTTTGTGTTTAAGAATAGGATATCACCAAACTGAGTGACTCCTCTAGTGGTTATTTTTTCTTTTCCACTTATTTTTTTTCTGTCTTCCTCCCTAAGTAACATGGCCATGAGAGACGTCAGGCTGGATGTCTGGGTTTACTCTGAGACCTGTCAGAGCAAACTGCTGTGCACACACAGAACCCTTTTGTTTCTAGGAGGTATTTGTGAACACAGCAGTTTGCTCATACAGATTACAAAAACCTTAATCCTCTGTAGTGGTAAATGTTGCTGCCAAAACAAATTATTAAAAAAAAAACAGAAAAAGCTGTTATATCATGTTATCCATAGGCAGAGGACATTAGCGTGGAGCATGCACAGCACATTCTTACTGTCATTTAGCAAAGCTGACCCAGTGTGGCTAGAAGAGTTTTAACATTTAAATGGCGTAATCTTAAACATACCAATGTACCTACTTTGTTGTTGTGGTTTTTGTTTTGTTTTGTTTTGTTTTTTAATGTATGTGAAATATATTGAAATATATGTAAATGAATCAGATCCCGCCATGTACGAACCCATCAAAGGTTGGTCTGGAGTGGAAGTTTTCTTCTTTCACTACTGTGTCCTGCATGGACAGACCACAATAATTCAACAGGTTTAAGGGTGGCATTCACGAATGATAACACCTGCAGGCTAGTACAGGACCTGGGCATGAATAGGTATTGAGCCAAAGCCATATATGGCATCCTTAAGTCTGGCTGAACTTTTCCACCTTAACAAAATCAATAAAGTAATGTTAATGTAATATGTATAGAGGTTTGTAGAGTGAGCAGTGTTTTGAATTGATTAATATGAAGTTGGGTTTTTTTCTGTCATTATAGATTTCTTACTATAAAATTCCTATGTTTTCATTTCCCTCTTTGTTCTCCTCTGAGTAGGATACCTTTACAGTTATTTAGGAGTCTAAGAATTCTGCATTGTTTGGCCAAAATGGTTCTTTTTCATCACTTTTTACCCCAGGAGTGCCTTGCACCTGTCCCCTGTGCACTTCAGACAGGAGGAGCTGTGTCACAACCTCTGAAGGAGTTCAGCTTGCAAAGGAACTCGGAGCCACTTACCTTGAACTGCACACTCTTAATGACTTCTACATCCAGAAATACTTTGGAGGAGTGGTGAGTGAGAATCTGCAGTTTTGGAAAGAAGGTGGAACATGAGGTGGATGACTGATGTGAGGGCTTCAGAGAGCCAGGGGAGGTACACCCTGGGCCCTTCCACCAAGTGCCAAGTTCCCACCAATCCAGAATTCAAGTTACATATTAAAAAAAAAATTCTTCAAAGCAAGGGTGGTCAGACAGTGGAACAGAATGGCCCGGGGCTCTGTGAGTGCCCCATTCTTGGCAGTGTTCTTTTCTGGGTTGGAAGGGTCTTGGAGCAATCTGATCTGTGGAAAGTGTCCCTACCCATGGTAGGTAGATTGGAATTCAATGGTCTTCAAGGTACTTTCCAAGCCAAACCATTCTAGGATTCTATGAGTCTATGATGCTATCTGAATTAGCAGTACCAATATTGCTCTGGTTTTAAATATAAAGATTTAGGAAAGCTATCTGATACACTGCAGTAAGTTTTCCACTTGTATTCTTGTCCTTTTATCTTGCTGACTAACACCCAGCTGAATGAGGCCACTCTCCAAGATACAATGAGCATCTGAAGAGGTTGGTAGATTGAATATTTTTGTGTCTGTCAGTTCTAGGAAGATTAAATACACAAAAATTAACCACAACCATTTGAATAAATAGTCTTTTAAATTGTGCTAGTTTTATCTAAATATGGTAGCTTCTCGGAAATGAGTTTTGGGACTCTCCTGGATGACTGAATAGTGTCAGCAGCTTTAGCCCTGCATACAAAACCTGTTATACCCCTTAATTTGATGTATAGGTTGTTATTAAATAACAAGATTTTAAAAATATATATATTTCTTTTCTTAGCTGGAATATTTTATGATCCAAAGTTTGAATCAGAAGTCATCAGAAAAAATGAAGAAAAGGAAAAAGACGCAGAAGTGCCATCGGGTCCAACCACCTCAGCTTGAACAGCCAGGTGCTCTTTGATATCTGAGCTCTAGTATAATTCCTTATGTGTGTCACTTTATTTGCACATTTAATATTTTTTACTACATTTTTTAGTAACAATTGTTACTATGAGCTGTGCTATCTCTTGTCAGCAATTCTGGTTATGTTGCATCATCTTTTAGTGATAGTTTAATTTACTTGGGAAGAATTGTATGGCAATCTATAACATCACAATGGAATTCTATTTAGATGTAGAGCCAGGGGAGGTACACAGGGGAGTTTATTTAGATGTAACTAATAGGAATGGTTTTCTTGTGGACTTATGAAAGCATGAATTGATAAAAGCTTTCCATAAAATCTTAACAGACAGATTACAACAGGAAGTTTTTAGAGCATGAATTATTATTCCACAGTATAATGAAATAGTGTTTTTGTTTGCTGAAGATAAAGCAAAGAAGTACACACCTTTATGAGATTTCTGAGCATTTGATGCATTTGTTCAGTGAAAAAATTACTGACGAGTTACCTACAAATCTGTAGTTGTCTCTTCTTCCATGTTCTAAAAGTTTGCTCAGACCTCGTACATTTGGAATACACCGTCAAAGTTTCTTTATAGAGTAATTTTCTATAGAGGGTTCATGAAAGGACAGACATTTTACCATTAAACTGTTTCTTAACTTTCTTACTGCACTAAACGTTTCCATGTTTAGAGTATTTTACTCAAGATACTCAAAGAGCATATAAGAAATATTCTTATTGAATATCTCTTTTAAAAATTAAACTGACCTCATAAGGTCAGTTGTCCTGTGGTTAGCACTTGCTAAGATTGTAAAACTTAGGTTTTACAGCCTGACTTCTTTTGCAGAAAAGATGCCGATCCTGAAGGGTGAAGCCTCGCACTACAACGCAGACCTGCACAACCTGCTCTGCTGCTGCCAGTGTGCAGATGTGGCCTTCTACCCTGAGGACCTCAGCACAGCAGTGGAGGCTCACAAGATCATCCTCTGCTCTGTCAGCCACCTCTTCATGCTGCTCTTTGGGGTGAAGAGACCATCTGATGCTCACGATGCCTCCGTCGTGCAGCTGGCACAGAGCCTCTTTGTGGTGGAGGCAGGCGATCCCTTCCCCTCCTCCCCCCATGGTGTCCCACCCTGTGTCCCACCAGTCAGGGTGGTGGTGAAGGATTCTGTCTTCTGCTCTTGTCTCCCGGACATCCTCCACTTCATTTATTCAGGTACCTGCTGGGAATAGATCTGGCAATGTATTTCCTATTGTCTCATGAAGGAATATGTGCATCACCTTAATGAACATGGCTTTGCTGTTGCTAGATGATGTCTCACCTTGTTTCCACAAATAGTTTATCCCTTGTGATTACTATACACAATAAAAACCAGCATCACCTATAACAAAAAATAGGTTAGTTGTCATTGCAGATTTAATAGGCCTAAATTAAATTAGTTCACAGGCTAACATCAATAACATTCAAAATTTTGCCAAAAAAATGTAGTTTGAATCATTTTCAGATCGTAGGCTTTTAAAATATTGTAAATGGTTCTAAACACAACGGCAAGAGTGCAGAGTTACTTTTGAAAACTCAAGTAATTTTTATTCTGAGTATGGTGCAGCTGAAGAGTATGGTTGATGCCCTGTGGGCTCCCAGGACAAGTGAAGAGAGATGAATCTTGACTCCATGTTTCAGAAGGCTGATTTATTAGATTATGATATATATTATAGTAAAATTATATACTAAAACTATACTAAAATAATAGAGAGAAAAGGATCCATCAGAAGGCTAGAAAGAACAGGAGAGGAATGATAACAAAAGCTCGTGTCTCTCGGAGAGTACGAGCCAGCTGACTGTGATTGGCCATTAATTAGAAACAACCAACATGCACCAATCACAGATGCACCTGTTGCATTCCACAGCAGCAAGTAGTTATTGTTTACATTTCTTTCCTGGGGTTCCTCAGCTTCTCAGGAGAAAAATTCTAGCAAAGGATTTTTCATAAAATATTATGGCTACAAAGAGAAAACAGTGATAGGTGGCTGGAGTGTGGAAACCTCTGTGTTTTGCATGAATTTGCTACCAGCTGGTACAGACTGTGACCTCACCTACCTAAGGCCAGCTATCAAAATGACACTGATATTTTCTAAACTTTTCAGATGTTGCTTAGGAATCCTCAGCAGAAAGATCTGGGTGTTTTTTGTTTTTTTTTCTGGAAGTAACATAAAATATTATGGCTACAAAGAGAAAACAGTGATAGGTGGCTGGAGTGTGGAAACCTCTGTGTTTTGCATGAATTTGCTACCAGCTGGTACAGACTGTGACCTCACCTACCTAAGGCCAGCTATCAAAATGACACTGATATTTTCTAAACTTTTTTTTTTTTTCTGGAAGTAGCCAATGCCTGTTCTTTATAAAATGTTTTTCAACTTGTCAGAGAATCTTTCAGCTTCCAGTTGGAGTTTGTACATCAAAGGCAGTTCTTTCCAAAATAGTAACAAACAAAAAACAGATGGAAATTTTTTCATTTTAAAAATCCATGAATATATGAATTTTTTGTTCTTATTTATTTGAGACAAGGATATGGGATTAAAATTGGATTTTTAGCAGGTGATGGATAAATACAGTATTTTTAATTCATAGAATAATTTAATAATTTGGGTTGAAAAAGACCTTTAAGATTATCAAGTCCAACCACTAACCCATCACTGCCAAGCCTATCACTTAAACAATGTCCCCAGGTGCCATACCTTTGAAGTGCCTCCAAGGATGGTGATCCTACCACTGCCTTGGGCACCTTGTTCCAGTGCTTGACAACTCTTTAGGTGAAGAAATTTTCCTGATATTGAATCTAAACCTCCCCTGGTGCAACTTAAGGTGGTTTCCCCTTGTTCTGTTACTTATTACCTGGGAGAAGAGATGGTCCCAGCCTAGCTACAACCTGGTCCCAGGCAGCTGAAGAGAGCAACAAATTCACCCCTGAGCCTCTTTCCTCCAGTTTGAACATCTCTGTAAACATCTTCATCTGTTACCATTTACAGCTTGGGTCTAGTGCCTTGTGTGCACTAATTTTCCTTTTTTACTTTCCTTTTTGTCAGCCAAGGAGCTGTGAAACTGCTACTGCAGGCAGAGCTCTGCTTTACTCTCAGCTCACAGCCTGAGGGTCATTGTGGCTTTTGGTGCCCCTGAGAGGGGAAATTGCTTGAGGTGCAGACTGAGAAGAGAACAAGTCATGAGTCTTCAGATTTTCAGAACTGTGACATGATGCCCATGAGGTTATAAACCCTTAACCAGTGTAGCATAGATGGGAGATAATTTTGCTGAGGATGCTGTGCTGTAGGGGCTGATTGAGCCTCTTGACAGCAGAGCATCTTCAGGGCTGTGCTGTGTTGGGCTTGTCACTGAGCTTGATCTATTTCTGTCTCCTCCTTGTCCTGGGTTAGAACTGAAAGCCCCACAGTGCCTCTGAGACTTTCTTCAGCAAAGTGCATGAGGACAAACTATCTTTGTTTTTACTCTCTTAATTTTTCCAAGAAAGTTATTGAGACACCTCAGTGAATGTCATGGCTTTGACTGCGAAAACAAGAATAATGGAAATTCTACTGCAAACCTTGTGCTGATTTTAACTATGAGGACTGAGAATATAACTGTGCATTAAGTTTTTCTAGTTCAGACATCTACAGAACAATGCAGCCAGCAGCACAGACAGAAGCTAAAAAAATTCCACAAATGTTGAAACATTAAGGATTTTTTTCCCCTGAATCCCTACCTGCAATATGTAGTGACTGAACTGTGGGAAATTAATACATTAAGTGTGAAAGTGAGATGCTCTAGTAGTTTGGTACTTGGTTGCACTATAAGAAATACCATGGAAATTTAATGTGCAAAATTGCATTGTGCCCTTCCTAAAAGCAAAGATCTGGCTGATTTATGTGCAAACCCCCGTTTCTGTAGTGTGTGTTTGGCATTGATATAATCTTTCCTCTGCCTGCTGAGGCCTGTGCCTTGCTGATTTATAATCTGTCTCCCCTGGTTTTGTGACAGGTGTTTTCCAGTGGGAACTATTAGAAGAGGACATAAGAAAGAAGCTGAAGGATCCAGATAAAACAGAACATGTGCTTGAGAAAGTTAAATGCATCCTGAAAACTCCAGGGAAGGTACATCTAACTCCCTTGGGTCACACTTAGTTCCTTAAGTTTTTGAGAAATTGTTTTGTAGGCAACGTTTTCTTGTCAGTCTTTGTTTTAAAGTCACTTTGGATTAAACAGCCTGTACTTTTCCATGCTTTCAGTGGGTCGTTTGCAGGTACATAAACAGAGATCCTGATGTAACATGCAGAATGAATGTAATTGGTAAAAACCACACAAGCAGGTATTTTAAAAGGATTACTCATATTCACAGCTTTGAACATTGTCTGGCAATATAATTATGGATTCCCATGTAATAGAGGCTGGCCAGGAAATATTTGCTCCTAAGCCAAAAGTTGGGCTTCTGCAGTAGATCCAGAGGGGTGGTTTCTCATGTAAGTGCTGTGATGTGGAAAGCTGTTTATTACTCAATATATTTAATTGAGTAGAAGACCACAGAAAAAATGTAACATATTATTAAGTTAATAAAAAGTCACACTGTAGAATTAGTTTTAATGTAGAATTAGTTTTTACATTTTTCTTGGAGCATGTACATTCCCTGATAATATAGAAATTGCTCTAATGATTTCTATTGATATAGAAGGGAAAACCTCTCAGATTCTCTTAAAACAATACAATATAGACATCAAAAAGTCACTGAACTGTTTTCAGTTTATGACTGCTCTGTCTTAGGCTTACCAGCCCTTAGTGCCCATAGCTAAAACATTTATATGTTTGGCCTTGGAGAGCCCGAAGACTTTTAAGATAGTGAGCCTGAGCTGTTGTAATTTCTTTTATTCTTTTTTTACGCCTTCAGGGTACTCTTATTTCCCATTTAAGCATTTTTCTTTGGAGGCCCAAAAGAAGGAATCGTGATTTTTCTTAGGAAAATGAAAAAAATTATAAATTTAACATTTTAACCATAAATCCAACCTCATCTGAATTTCACTTGTCACAATCTAGCAACACGATTTTATAATTGTTCCTTTTAGCAGCTTTAGATTACACTTTTAAGGTAAGTAAACCAAAACTGAAAACTAACTGGGAGTATTGGGTTTTGGAGAGTCTTGACACTACCAGGTTAATGTAAGAGGAGTATGTGCTCCAGCCTGTGAGCTCCCCCTGCCTCTGGGAGGCAATTCCAGGGCAATATAAACACGGAACTTCCAGCTGCCTTGCCCCTGTACATGGCATCGCACTGCGGGTGGATGTGTGCCCCATCCCTGCTCTCCGCAGAGCCCTCAAACCTCGTTTTGCTGCAGCATCGGGTCTGCACAGGGAATGCGTCAAAGGCTTGGCATCCAGAAAACTGATGAAGCCCAACCTGCCTGTAGGGGCTGGATAGGGGAGTTTCATCAGAGGTCCAGAACACCAAGGAGAGAGAGCTGAGGTGTTGCTGTGGGGGACAAGAGACCTCTCAGAGCTGCTGAGGAATTCACTGCAGGGAATAGGACATTAGAAGATAAAAGATGATTGCAGAGGAATGCACATGCCAGAAGCTGTTGTTTATTTTCCCATATAAATGATGTCCCATAATGTTTAGTTCTGTGTGCAGGCACACATGACAGTGCTTTATTACCAATTTATTTTTCAGCTAAACACTGCAAAGGACTGCAAGTCTCACCAGATAAAACAGCTCTATAGTACTTCTCTTAGGCTATTCTTTAACACACCTGTGCTGGCTGATGTAATCTTCAAAATACAAGGTACAGTACCTCTGTTCCCTTGGTCTCCAGCCTTTACCCTTTTACCCCTCTTCAAGAATATGGGACATAGAGGTGTCCATGTTCCATGGCATCAAAACTAAGGAAATATGAGTACTTTGCTGTCACTGCAGAAAGCGGGGAAAGCTTGTAGATGCCCTGTAGCGCTCTCCACTTCCAGCATGGTCCATCTGGGCTGAGCCTATAGGAATTCCCTCTTCCTGTTATGGCCCACTGTGCCTCTCTGATTTACCTTATTTTTATTCTCTTTAATTCTACTTTGTTTTGCCGGGGAAAGCTTGTAGATGCCCTGTAGCGCTCTCCACTTCCAGCATGGTCCATCTGGGCTGAGCCTATAGGAATTCCCTCTTCCTGTTATGGCCCACTGTGCCTCTCTGATTTACCTTATTCCTGTTCCCAGCTGCACAAGCATTAGGGCATACTCAAGGGTTCTGCCTAACATCACACCTTGGAGAAGCATGAGGTTCATCTCTATGCTTGTTGCCCTCAGTGGAAAGAGCAGAGATGGTGGTTATTGGCTCCTGGCCAATATCCCCCTGTCCATCTCAGGTGGGTGCTGGCTGTGGAAGAACATGCCTTGTCCCCCAGAAGCTGACAGGGACTGGCTTCACTGTCCTTGCCACCAGGGTTTGGTGACCTGCAGATGTGGTGCTACTGACGCCCACCACATTTTACTACCTGATGTGCTGCAGTGTCAGGATTCAATATTTTGTCTGGAAATTAAATGTTCTCATTGTTACAATGAAAAATGCAGTGTGAGAATTGTGCTGCATGCTTTTGTAAGAATAAGAATGACATGGTTTTTAAAAGCTAACACTATTCTCTGTCTGTCCATGCTCATCTTTCATGCAGAAATGGTCTTCTATAATTAGATAATTATTTTCAGATGTATATCTCAGGGACAAATATGAAGCATTAGCTCCTCAAACATAAACACAGAAGGACAAGCAGACTCTTTCTAGATGTTCTGTTTAACACGCAGAGAATACTCCACAAAAATATCATTGTAAAGGAGTGGGAAATACTGATTTTGAACTCAATGACATGAACAATTCATCTCAGTGTCCCATTCCTGAGAGAGTCTTTGTGGGAAGCTGATGAAACCAGAACAACACTATATATTTTACAGGAATAAAACCAAAATCTTTGAATGGGTTGACAAGTATTTTAAAAAACCATGCTTATCCACTAATAAAATGTAAAATGTTTTTCCTAATAATTGATACATCTTCCAATTTTTTTCTCAAGTTCATCAATCAGAGTAACTGCATCAAAATTAATTAACTACTAAGAGAAATTTAAGGCCCTAATCTTAACCAGACAAACACATTTGTAAGTTTTTGAGCTTTCTAGCTTACAGAAGTATGGAAGCCAGGAAAAATTGGAGCCCTTTGTGTCAGTGTAAAGACATAGAACATGACTGAACATCTTAATTAGTAGATAAATGTCCATTCACAAGCACATACAGGACATATAGCATGCAGCTTAGACATTTTGAAAGTAGAAGTACAGGGGGTAGAAACAGGGAAAAAAAGACAAAAAATGCCAGAAGGCATCACAGAATTACTCAGGTGCCAATGTTGTGGTTAAAGACATAATTAAAACAGTAACTTCTTTGTACGTATATACAATATATTGCATGTGAGTTAATCTGTTTATTATAATTTTGATTAAAACGTTTGCATCCAACTCTAAATGCTCATTTTGGTTTCGGTTGCTGTCCTGACCGGCACTTGCTTGGCACTTCCTTGCATACTGAACTGGACTTCCCAGTCCAGCTGGACTCTGCAGCCTCAAGGGCCTCTACTCCTCTGGGCTTTTGGCCTCTCCAGGTCTTCCAAAGGCTGTAGTAAAGCAAAGGGTTCACTTGCAAATGATAGAAAATTAATACATTTTTGGCAAAAAATCACCAGTTTTTTTTTCATAAGACAGCCATTCAGGAAATTCACTTAGGCACAGTATTTAATCTAGTTAAATTTATACTTACTTATTGGATTTAATGGAATTTATTCTATTTATTCTATTCTCAGTTGGTTTAGTCTATTGCATTTTGGCTTAAATAATTTTTTGTTTGTTGATTTTGTTTTATTTTACTATTCATTATTCACCTTAACTAGTATGCATACTTAACTAGTATGTTGAAAGTGTCAACTTTCAACACTTAATCATGTTCAGTGGGGTGAAGACCTTCTAAGAAGACATGAGCTTTAAAATGAAGATCTTTCTGTGTTATGTAAAGTCACTGTATATTTATTTTAGTCTTACATCCTACAGGTGCAACTGTACCAGCCCACAGGGCAGTTCTGGTGGCTCGCTGTGAGGTTATGGCAGCTATGTTTAATGGTAATTATCTAGAAGCAAATAGCATTCTGGTTCCAGTGTATGGGGTTTCCAAAGACACTTTCCTGTCCTTCCTAGAGTACCTTTACACTGACTCCTGCTGCCCAGGTAAGGAGACTGTAAAATACATTTTTATATCTGTAACTCATTTTTCCACAGCAAGGCATTGATAGAGAGTAATGTAGTAGCACCTATTTAATGGAAAAATGCCAATATTTGAATGTGCAATGTCTTGAGAAAGATAACTTTTTTGTATTGTGCAATAAATAAAAAAATCCGTCCTATACAAGTAAAATAGAAGAAATGTTTCTAATAAAATTATTTATTTGCTTTCTGCTCACATAACAAGACTCACATTTCAATTTAATTTCTGATCCATTATAATATTGGTAATTTTTTTTTTACATTTCAGTAACATTACTTTCTAGTCTAGATTCTGTGTTATATTTAAAAGTTGTCACTTCTTGAACACACATATAGCTGAGGGTACTATAAACAAGGTTAAATTGCAGGAATACCTTATTTATACACAAAGGTTAAATTGCAGGAACACCTTATTTATACACATGGTTATGTTATGTATATATAAACTCAGAAAAATAAAATATGCCAACGGGAGTGTTTGGCAAGAAAAATTGAGCTAAAATATTCTTTATGTCTCAATCTTTATCTTTCTTATGAGAAGAAAATCTGAATACTAAATCTAAAGCAGGATTTAAGTGTAGCTAATTTTCCCTTGATATACGAATAAATGATACTGTGATATGTATTTTTGCTTCTGGTTTCTTTTGAAATAATTATTCTACCTTATTCTTATATATTCCATGTTTCTCTTTTCACTCCACCTAAAATTTCCTTGTTTATCAGTTTAAAAATGCAACCACTGTGCTATATTTAAAAAAAAAAATATCTTTTTTTGTCTTTGGACATTTTTTTTGCTATATTTTCTTGTATCATAAAAGTGCTTTTCTGAAAGAGAACTTAGCTAAATCCACTTACTAATTCTCTAAATAGATCAGCAGCACTTGGCTCATCATCTTCAAGATCCACAATATTGACAGCAATTCTTTACACCCATCTGCCAAAAAGTTCTGAACACATTTTTTTTTCTTAATTGAATAGCTTATCTGGAAAAATAAGGTGATACAGCAAACAAAAATTTATAATAATGAAAAAATAAAACAAGATGATCACAGAAGTCTGATTTTGTGTTTGTTGTTAGGTATTTAAAATTCAACTTGGTGAAAAACAGCTTTGGTTTCTTGTCAAAAAGGTAAAATACATGTAACTTGTGTCTTCTTGTTTTTTAGCCAGTATTCTCCAAGCGATGTCTCTGCTGATCTGTGCAGAGATGTACCAAGTAATGAGACTCCAGCATATTTGTGAACTTTACATCATCACGCAGCTTCAGAGCATGCCTAGCAGGGAACTGGCTTCCACAAGTCTCAGTATTGTTAGCTTGCTCAAAAAAGCTAAGGTATTATTGTACATATCAAATGAGGATATATATGTTGACTTTAATAAGTTGTTTTTAAAATTTAAAAAATATTAAGAGCAATTTCTGTTCCCAAGGAAACATGTTGGTAGAAAAATCTGTTTACTAGGGATAAATGGTGAAAAAAGGGTGGTCAGAAGAAATCCTTCAGCCTTTAATTGCCAAACGTGCAGTCACAGAATCACAGAATTGCCTCTACCAATGTACCCAAGCCTGCTCCAACACCTGACAACCTTTACCACGAAGAAATTTTTCCTACTCTTCAACCTAAACCTCCCTGGCACAACCTGAGGCTATTTCCTCTTGTCATGTCACTTTTTATCTGGGAGCAGGGACTGACCCCCACCTGTCCACAACCTCCTTTCAGGGAGTTGTAGAGAGTGATAAGGTTGCCCAGAGCCTCTTTCTTTTCCAGGATAAAAATCCCCACCTCCTTCAGCTGCTCCCGATAAGATTTGGGCTCCAGACCCTGTAGTCACACCCTCATCTGTGGAATTTGTTTTATAATGGACACACTGCATAGAATATTGAGAGAAATGCATAAAAGCATGAAAAGAAAAGATTACAGGCTGAAAAAAAATGAGAGACGATAAAGGCAGGGTTGGAAAACAGAAGAGGAGAATAAAAACTAGATTGCAGGATTTTCTGCAGAAAGAGGAGACCACAAAACCAATATGCCACATTCCTTCCCTCCATTCCGCTGAAGCTCTGCTTCTGTGCAGATGTCAAAATTTACAAGATTTGTGATACATTAGGGTTTTTTTCTTCCTCTGGGAGAGGGACTTTGTTAATTTGTTCTCGGGTGTTCACCTGTTTACATATTTCTACTAAATGACTTTTCCTTCATTATCTTCCATAGTCAAAACTTTATTTAGTAAATTGCTTAACAGTGGAAACTGGAAATATTTTGACATGTGAGATGTGGTTATGTTTTAGACATGATAGCATTAAGTGGCTTTTTTGTCTTTTCTTTCTTCCCACAGTTTCACAATTCTGATTGCCTTTCAACTTGGCTTCTTCATTTCATTGCCACTAACTACCTCATCTTCAGTCAAAAGCCTGAATTTCAAGAACTTTCAGGTATTCCTGTGTTCATTTTGAAGAGACAAATATTTTCATATTTTGCTGAGAAGAAAAGTGATGTTCTGAATAATACCATTTTTGCACGAGAAAATAATTAGGGTTTCTTTAGGATATTCCAGCAGGACATTTCACCATGCTGCTGTGGGATGAGCACACAACATGACACAGCCAGCCCTGTATCACTATTTTTGCGGTTCCTATTGGGATGGCCAGGTTTCCACCCATAAATGAATTTGCTGGAACAGTTTGGTCATTGTATGTCAGTCCCTTCATGTTATCTTGCTAATTTAAATCAAGGTAATGGGTCATTTTTGATACTTCTTCAAGTGCTGGGGTTTTCCTTTAAGAAAATAGGATTCTTATAGTATGCTCCAGCAGATCTTATAAAATGAGAAAATTATGGCCCATTCAAGTAAATAAATCCAGCTTCTTCGAGGGACCCAATATTTATTTTTCCAAGCATTTGTATTTGCTTCCAGTGGTGTAACTAGAAAGTTTTGCTCATTGCCTGTGTGATTTTCATTCACCCTGATGAGCAGTGCATCTCTTTGACCTGTGACACCTCGAGGTTCAGGACAGCAACACAGCAGCAGGCAGTGGCTCTCCAAGGGCTTTCTGAGACCTGTGATCTTCACAGAAATGCAGAATTAGCTGAGTTGAAAAAACACATATGGATCACTGAGTGCAACTCCTGGGTCTGCACAACACCATCCCCAAGAGTCACACCATGAAGAATTGTCCAAAAGCTTCATGAACTCTGTCAGGCTGGTGCTGTGACCATTGTCCTGGGAGCCCGTTCCAGTGCCCAAATACACACTGGGGGAAGAACCTTTTTCTAATCCAGCCTAAACCTCCCCAAGGAGGCCTGAATACAAGTTCAGACCATACCCTTCGAGTGTCTGCCACTTCTTTTCCCCTCTGCACCTCTTCTTCTCCTCCTCACATGGAAGTTGCAGACTGCAATGAGGTCTCCCCTCAGTCTCCTCTCGGCTGAACAGACCAAGTGCCCTCAGATGCTCCTCACACAGCTTCCACTCAAGGCCCTTTACTGCCTCCTTTGGTCACTCTCCAATAGTTTTAATGTCATTCTTATACTGTAGTGCCCAATCTCCCCTAGACTTGAGGCAGTGCCATCCCAGTGGACAGCACAGCAAGACAATCCCCTCCCTTGCCTGGCTGGCCATGCTGGGCCTGGTGTGCCCACGACAGGAATGTCTCTCCTGGCTGCCAGGACATTGCTGACTCAACGTGTCATCAACCAGCACCCTCAGATCTCTTTCCAGGGCACTTCTCTCCAACATCTCATTCCTCAGTTTGTCCATACATCCAGGGTTGCCCCATCCCAGGTGTAGAGTCCAGCACTTTTGCTTTTTGAACTTCCTATGGTTGGTGAACACCCAGTCTTCTAATTCATTGAGTCCTCTCCGCAGGGCCTCCCTGCCTTTGAAGAAGTCAACAACTCCTCCCAGATTTGTAGCATCTGCAAATTTGCTCAGTGTCCTTTCCAGTCTTTCATCCCAGACACTTATGAAGATGTTTAAGAGCACAGGACCAAGGATGGAGGCCTTTGGAATCCCGCTAGTGACAGGTCCCCAGTCTGATGTCACCCCAGTCACTGTAACCCTTTGTGCCTGACCTGTGAGCCGCTTGCTCACCCTTCACAGGATGTGTTTATGCATCTGTGAGCTGGACATTCTGTCAAGATCCTGTTTTAGTGAGAAACAGTATCAAAAGCTTTACTGACATCCAAAAACATTACATTACTGGCTTCCCTTGATCAGTTAGGAGGGTTACCTTGCCATAGAGGAAATCAGATTTGATTAGCAGGATATTCCCCTGAAGCCCTGCCTTGTGCCCACGTGGGTGCAGTTTGCCTGCCCTCAGGCTCTCCTGGCTGTGGGCCTCTCTGCTGTGCCTTGGTCTGAGACCCTCAAGGAACCAGGAGCAATGGATGCAAACTGGCTCTGGAATATTTGGGGTTAAGGGGACGAAAATGCGTCTTTCTGCAAATGCAGAGGGGAGTAATCTAGATAGTCTTATATGACTATGTCAGTGATTAAATGCAATGAACCACATGCAATAAGAGTTTATCATCTTGCTGAATTCTTAGCTGCACTCCTCACCTCAGTACACTTTCTGTATTGGTCTTGAGACAAAGTACTGGCACAGGAATTGACATACCCTGCTTTACAGTTCTGCAGCATAGAAAAATCCTTGCATACCACCTATGACTATCCTCTAGGGATAAAGTATGCTCATCTTTAGGAAAGTCTCTTTGCTGTCCTTAATAAGTATTCTATTCATTTTTTCAAAAAACTTTTTTATTACTTACTTAATAACAAGGAAATATTGTGTGGTAACTCCTACATCTGTGCCATAGCAGAGCTCAATGCAGAACAGGCAGCACTCATCTCTACTTTTGTAGTTGTATTTATATCTTTAATGGTTTTTAAGCTATATTAAATTACTTCTTGCAGGCTGTGCATGTGTGTACTATTTCTATATATTATATTGAATTCCTTTATTTCTTTTTCTAGTGGAAGAGCGCAATTTTGTAGAGATGCACCGATGGCCTTCAAATTTATACCTGAAGCAGCTTGCTGATTACAGGAACTATATCCACTCTCAGAAATGCCACTGCACAGTAATGTAAAGAGACTGAATACACATCAAGTACATCTCAACTGCAAAATTTCGCATTGGGGATTATATAGAATATAAAAATCATGTCAAGAGTGAAACCTGACACTGACCTCCTCTGGAAATTACAGACATTCTTTATTTTGTTAACAAATAACTTATTTTTACCGTGAAGCATTGAGAAATGGACACTGGAGATTTATTTTAAGCACAAGGATTTCATATTCATGGGGATTAAATGTCTTAGAAGACAGTGCCATGACTGGCTTCTGCTCCCCTTTCTAATTTCCTTTTGGTTTATTTTATTTTTTTTCATGGTTATTTATGACTGCTAAACTGAATCTGTTGGAAATAGACTAGTTCTGTAAATCTGTGTGTAATAGAAGCATAGGGATACAGTAGCAGTGCAGGGAAGCTGAGAAGCCAGGTCATAAGTTCTTCAAATACTTCAGGATACAAAAATTTTCTGCAGCATTTGTTAGTTCACAATATAATGGGTGGGCTTAAGAAGCATTGTAGTTGCCATTAATTTATTACTCCAGAGAAGGCCTGTAGTTCTGTTAAAACCTTATGAGTAGATATTTTAATTCCAGACAAATGCCTATGCATTACAGTATTCTCTAGTGCCTCCAAATATCTTAAGAATGACGTAATTTTTCCTGCCAGTAGGTAGGAGAAGAAAGCCTGTTTTCACACTCTGCAGAACACCTTTGTTAGTGTGCTCATATTGTATTTTTCCCCATGAGAAATGAAGAGTGGGAAAACCACATATACTCAGAGCATATCTGTATGGTACTGATGGACAGGGAAGAAAGGTAGAGGGATCAACAGCCTTTCTTGGGGTTTGAGCAGAAAAACTCACTAGAAGAAGTGGCTTGTAGTCACCACAATACATCTTAGATGTGCTGATCATGAAGGAGATGACCCTCGCAGATTTGCCAGTGCTGCCAGGGTTGTTGGCTTTTGTGGTGGGACTTCGATCTGAAACCTCCCCAGAAGGGATTCAGTTCAAGTTTAGTTATCATCATGTGCCTGTAAGCTACACCATGTGAGATAAACCTAGCTCTAGATCCTTTCTGAGATACAAGAGAAAATCCCAGAATATTATGACTGGCATGATCCTTGAAGATGCTATTTAGCATCTTTATTTTCTTGACCAAAATAACTTGTCATGCTGCTGACTTGTATGTACATAGTATGTGCTAATGCCAAAAAGAGCCCAGCTTTTTCCTGAGCATAGGTGCTTTTCTAAAGCAAAATCTAATCAAGGAACTAAATGTCTCATTATCATTCTTGAACTTTCAGATCTGGTTTTTCATCTGCCTTTGTGATGTGGTATGTAGCCTGAGACTGTGGCATTTCTACCACATCAAATGTACCTGGAAACTGCATCTGTGAGAAGGTGGAAAGACAAATTGCTGGAGCTGAATCTTTTTTTTTTTTTTAAGATATAAGAACATTTTTCAATACTGTTTTATAGATAAACTGTTCTTTTCAATTTCCATTCTAGAGTCATAGAGATTTCTGGGGTTTTTTTGTGACACTTTGCAGAACTTAAGAGAGTCTTTCCTTCCCTGTTTTTGTATACATACAAAATAAAAAAGAGTTTATGGCTCAGCTGGCTGCTGCAGACTTCAAATTCCAAGGTTAGTTTTAGGTAAGAAGGACTTTTTTTTAAACTCTGCATCTGCAAATCCTAAAGTTATTTATAAGATAAATATACTTATCTAAGGCTTGCATATAGGGAGCTTAAAATATAGAGAATGATAATGCTTTTTCAAGATCATGAAAGAGAATTGAAATTATTAAACAAAAAAATAGTAGAAAAGTAATATGTATGGAACTGACATGAGAAAAAAGTAGTTTTTATAGTTATATAGTTATCAAAATTTTAAGCAAAATTAAATTACTGGATAGATAATAAAACTGTAAGGTTTTTGAAGGTAAAGTAATGGAAAAATTTGTGCATACAGTTAAACAACAGCTGGTCTAGACATCTATAGCATCCTTGGGTGCTTCTAGCAGAAGTCAGCTCAGTTATGAAAAGTGGGGATTAAATGCTTCACACTGACATCCTGTGCAAAAGTGACACAAAAGTTCTATGAATGTTAGTCTAAGCTCCATATAGTCCTGCATTTTTAATGTTTTGAAAGTTTTCCCAATTTTTCACTAGGAATTCATCTGTTGCCAATGATTTGTGTATAGATAACACATAAGAAAGTACTGGTTTTAATTTTCTGTAAATGTTTTATAGTTATTTAAAAATAGGCTTAATGGAAATATAAACACTTTCTATCCAAACCAGAGAAATATTTTGCTATTATGCATTTTAGTCAGTGATAGCCACAGGTTTTATACAGAGAAGTCAAGCAGTATAAAAATATTTAGTATTTATTCAGAGATTCAGAGATTAATGCTTACTACTGTGCAAATAATAAACTAAGTTTCCATTTTACTGTGTATCCCCATAATGCTGCCTGTATCAGGTGCAGATGTGTTGTACTTGCAGACATACACTATCTGATAAATTTTAAGTCATAGAAGAAATCTCACTAGATATTCTTATTTTCATTCTCTAACATGATTTTCTGTAGAGATATATGTATCTTAGAGCTATTTTTAAGCCTTTTTTAGCATTTGGAGACATGACTGAAAGTAGATAATGATGCTTTGTGAGTTGCTATTCTTAGCTGGTTTTAGTGGAGGCTTTAGGACTGTATCCATCACAAATAGTCAGGAATTAGGGCAGTTCTGAATTTGGTATTTATTTATAACTGTGCATGGCATAAAGTAAAAACCACTTTGATATAAACCTCTCACCTTATACTATGGTATAAAATACAAATCAGGAGCCAATTGGAAAAAAAAAAAAGTTATTTAAAGAAAAAGGTGGTTTTGAAAAAATAAAATGTTTCTGGAATGCTTCCACTGGTTCCAACACCTCCCAAACTCCCCTGGCACTGGCAGCATTGGGATCAAAGAAAGAGGTCAGTGGTGAATTTGGATGTCCCTAGGCAGTACCAATAGCATTTGAAATTATATGTTTAGGCTTAAGTTTAAGTAGAGATGCAACTCCTGAGTCCTTCATTAGAACTAACTCTCAAAATTAACTTTGAGCAAATAATTTTTTGAATAGTGGATGACACTGTTAATTTTTCTATCCTCTATATGTGTGTTCTTGTCCTAAACTAGCACTAAGCTTTATAGAGACTCAAAAAAAGTTTTCTGCACTAGTAAGGTTTTCCATATGATAGTCAGAAAACCTTTGTTTTTGTCCTTAAGACATGGTGTGGTTGATTTGGAAAAAAAACAAACCAACAAACAAACCAACAACAACAAAAAACCCCAATCTGTTAGAAAAAAGAACAACTATTTTATTAGGCATGTCCTGAAACTCTTGTATGTTTTTCTTTTAGTGTATCCTGACTAAATTACACAGTTTTAGATTTAATATGTAAAATTTTTGATACAAAATTAAAAAAATATTCTCTAATCAGTATTATGTGATTACTTATGGATGTATATTAACATACGTGAGTGTTACACTGGTGACGTTTTTTGTAGTTTATTGGAACCATAGAACCATACTGGCTTGAGAAGAGCCATTGGCTTGGGCTGCAAGGGACTTAAAATCATCTTGTCCCAACACCCCTGTCATGGGTAGGAACACTTTCCTCTAGACTAAAGCCCCAGCCTCACCTTGGACACCCAGGTCCTCAAGTGAGCACCCACTGAGCCACAACAGCAGCACTGAGCACTGATGAAAGCTGCAGGCACTGTCCCAAAAGCCAGAGTGTGTTCAGACAGCAGTGGGAGAATTTAGGAGGAAGGGTTTGGTTTACTAAGCATTGAAGAAAGAAGGAAGAAAAAGGAAGGGGAGATCAGATAGCAGAGGATCACTAGTCTTGGGTCCAGCATTGATTCGGCTAGTTCCCCATCCAGGCTCTGTGGGAGTACCTTTTTATAGGTAAGTATATGTAGGCTCCCTGTAGTTTTTTATTACCTGTCAGACTTTTCCAGTGGTTTTGAAAAGAGGAGGCAACAAGGACACTATTAAGACTCATCCCATCTTCACTGAGACTACTGTAAATCTGTAGTGATTTAGTTGATCTACTTTACAGATCTGTAGATCTGTAGTGATGTAGGGAACCTGATTATCTTTTTCCTAAAAGCTTGTCTGGTGAGATTTTTGCTATATTGTGGCAAGTGCAGAACTGCAAGAAACTGTGGAAAGGGATGCATGGATGGATAGCTAGAAAACATGCAGAGGATTGGCACTAACTTTGATGTAGATGGAGTCTTCTTTCCAGGGTTGTGACATGGTATTCAGCCGTCACGGGTTACCTGAGATCATTTGTGCTCACTTCACTGCAGTGGTAGTAGGGGAAGCTCTGCTGGGGGAGAACAACACAGTCTTTGCTGTCATTTTAAGTCCACAGTGTTTCAAGGCAAAAAGTGGTGTCAGTATGAAGACAGACACATCAGCCAGTCCAGATCTGCTCCAAAAGCCTCAGGTTGAAGACAGAGAAGGCAACCTACGGTAGCAACATTTCACCCAAGTACAGAGGGTGGTTTGGGGTGGAAGGCTGAATTCTGGTCAAAGCTTTATTTTTAGAAGGCTTGCAGTTATTCCTCCTCGCCAGGTCAGTACTTCTGACTTCCTGTAAAGTGATGTTCTCACAAAATATTTTTACTGCATGTGTTTCACAATAAATATTATTATTATGAAAATGGCTATTTTGAAATCATGTATCTTATTAAGTGTTGATGCCATTCTTAGCCTGTATATCTGGCTGTCACATTTGGAAAGGAGAAGGAGGTTCAGGTCAAGTGGTGGGTTAAAACACACAATCCTCCAGTACTGAAATCCATCCCTTTTCTCAGTTCTGCTCTACTCCCAGCCTCTTGTTCAAGGACAGCTGAAAACAATGGCTGAGCCCAACTACAATATCACTCCATACATCTTCATCTTAGGCAGGCTGCTAGTCAAGTCCTTTGTGTATCAGGGAGGCAGACTTCATCAGAGAAAAGCCAGCCCTGATTCTTACTTTTGTGGCTGTCAGGGTGAAGACTGTTTTAGGATTTTTAACTTGAAAGATTTTCCACGTCACCTGGAGATTCACCTGGGAACTTCAAGCTGAAGATATTAAATTCTCACTATTCTTTGCTGAAAAGGATAAAGATTGGGGGCCTGGATATAGGCTGTAAATGCAAATCAACAACTACCTATATTGATTTATATGTTCAGCCATGCTGAGTTAACTGGAGAAATCAGCTAGACAAGCCTGGGCCATGACACTCCCATCCTTTTGAAGACCAAGGATACTCCAGTTCATATACAAAGACTTTCTAAAGACCGGGACATCTTTTCATTTATTAGCCTGATGAGTTCTGCTTTTTCCTACACCAAAATCTTCTTGCCTGCAGCAGCAGGTGGGGACCACCCCAAGCATGGGTGCAGCCTCACTAGCAGCACTGCAAGCTGGGATGCTCAGATCTGTTTTGCACCACAGGTTATCTCAGCTGTGAGCAGGTGTGGGACAGAGAGTGGTGAAAGGCTACTGGTAAAGCCAGCAGGGTGCTAGCTCCCCATCATATTCCTCTGCCAAGGACACTGTGCCCTGCCCCACTCCCAAGGGTCTCAAGCATCCTTCTGGTCCTCAGCGATGCTCCTGCTTTTTTTCCCAGATATGAACTTGAAGAGTTAGATCCAAGCTACGCAGAGCCTCCTGAGCTCACATAATACTTTTTAACATGCATAGAAAGAAGCTTTCCAGCAACTACAATTGATTGGATTGATGGCTTTTTTGTTGTAAAATTCAAGTATTTTTCCACTTTAAGCGGTTGTGTTGTTTTGTCTTTTTTTTTTTCCTTTTCCTGTTTGGACTAGAGAGTTTTTTATTTCTCATTTGGTATTTAAAGGAATCCAGACAAAAATGACAGCCAGAAATACAGAGGCTTAATAATGTGGACATTACACATCCTAACGATAGTTTACAGGAAGAGTGAAACATGACCCAGAATAAGGATGTGCTAGTAAAATGATAGTAGACCTAATGGGCTTCCACCCTCTACTGATAAAATTTATTTCAGTGGACAAACCTAAGTCTTGACCTGAAAAGAAGTGACCAGAAGAAACCCACTCTAAATATGATACAAGCAACAACGAGAGAAGGAATTACCAATAGTGAGATTTCTTTATTTTTAAATTTCAATACTATCCTCTTTCAACTTCTTAAATTAACTCAACTTGGGACACTTCTCACAAACAGCTGTTTCTTCATTGACAGCTCAAACCAGGGCTTTTGGGCTGGGTCTTGCAAAAATCAGACCCAGCCCAAGCAGTGTCTGAGCATAAATGCCAATTCCACAGTTTCCCTTGTCTCACTGAGCAGCTCCAGGGAATCCAGAGCACTACTGTGATGAAGCACAGTCTTCATGGTTTCATCCTTCTTTACCTCATAGGCTTTGGAGCCTGGAGTCAGAGACTTCCATTCCTTCTCAAAATGCCTGAACTTCTTTATGGTCTTGTCAGTCTTAAAATGTAAATTCTGATATTCCTCATACTCTTCATTGAAGTCATCCTTGTAGTGCTGGCGTTGCTCCAAGGAGACAATGGCTTCGTATTTTCTAATGGGAAAAATGAGACCATTTTTCTCTGAGTGAACTCTAAGAGAACACTCTAGTATGTTTCTGTTCCATAAAACACACATATAATTTTACACCAAGCACAGGGTAATGTCAAACATAGACATTCAAGCTTTGAGTCAGTGGCTCTGGGACTCACAGTTTCGACTTTCAAGCTCATGGGCTTCAAGAAAATGCAGTTGGGTAAATCTAGGAATCTGCCACATTTCTATGTGGCCCATTTCTAGTTACTAATAGCTTACATTGTAGAGGTTTTCTTCATTAGCAAGTGCAGTGCATTTAGAAATTATGTGCCTTCATTTCAAATGTCAAATGGCAAACACAGCAGCATCAGGAAGAGAAGAAACATTGCTAAATTATAATCTCTTCCTATGTAAGAAAAACTTAAGTTACATATAATTGCAAAAATTCATCTGCAAAATATTTTTGTAAAGGAATGTATTTATGGACTTGAGTGCACAGACCTGCCCTGGGCTGCCTTCCCCCATCTGTGCTGAGCAAGTACAATGATGAGAAAGCCAAATTTGTTCTTTGACACTGGGCCTCCTAAAGAAAGCGAGAAAGCTCAACACACATCTGAACTCCTGGGCACTGTGCACTCTGTCCGTGCTCTCCTGCCGCTCCGCCTTTCCTGCCTGGGCCCAGGAGTCCTGACTGGCAAGATCCTCTCCTAGTGGGACCTGCAAGGAATAGGCAGGTCCCACTAGGACAAACAATCAATAAGGAGCAGGGAGGTTGGCTCCTGAGAGCTGGCAGAAGCAGCAAGCAGCAGCGCCCCTGAAGGCAAAAGCTGTTGTATGGGGCTGTTTATGTGGTGTTTATGTCCCAACTAACCCTGGAGTTGCTCTGGGAGTGTCTGAATAGAAGCAGGGAACATTTCCCTGCTCAGCTCTGCTCAGCTGGCTTCCCCTCAGGATTTCAGGCCTTCAAGAGCAGCCAACAGGAACTGCATTCCAGCCCTTCACAGACAGATTTTGTCTCTGCCATGCAGAGCTGCTCAGGA